GAAAGAGTGAGCACACCGGAGGCCCCGCGGCGTCACTGCCATCGAGGAGCCAGTTTAATCCTGGGGCCGGAGCTGGGCACTCATCCATCCACAGTCCCCGGCTGGGCTCGGGGTGGGGGTGACGCGAGCGCGGAGGGAGAGTACCCCAATTCGTGGGGTATGGGGTCTGCAGCTCAGTCTTACGCGTGTCTGTTTGTCCTCAGCCCCGAGGTGCGTCCCGGATTCCAGCGCGAGTCTAGCCAGGAGCCTGCGCCCCAGAGCGTCCCGGGAGCGCCGCGGGCCGGTGCTCGGCTCGCCGGGCCATGCAGCGGCGGCCGCGGCGGAGCCCCGAGCGGCGGTAGCGCCCCCTGTGAGGATGCCCCTGCCACTGTGAACGGTGCCGTCCGCCAGGACACGCTCAGCCCCGGACACGCTCGGCTCTGCACCCCTGAGACGAGCACTAAGAGGAGACAGCGGCGAGTGGGGCAAAGGCCACCCAGCACCGGCAGGGGAGGCCGACCGGTGCCGCGCAGGGACACGTACTCAGTCTGACTCGGGCTGGCACTGGTGGCTAGGAATGTCGTCCTGTACGAGGTGGCATGGGCCCGCCATGGCGCGGCTCTGGGGCTTCTGCTGGCTGATCGTGGGCTTCTGGAGGGCCGCTCTTGCCTGTCCCACATCCTGCAAATGCAGCGCCTCTCGGATCTGGTGCAGCGACCCTTTTCCTGGCATCGTGGCATTTCCGAGGCTGGAGTCTACCAGTGCGGACCCCGAGAACATCACCGAAATGTGAGTTGCTGGTGCTTTCCCTCCTTCCTCCTCTCCTGGCCTCTAGGGCCGGGGCTGGCCAGACGGGTCCGTCCTGGGCATGAGTGTTGTTTCAAGTCTGGGGAGAAGTCAGAGGTGAGAGGTGCAGGGATGGACCATCTGTCAGTTACCTGTTTCACTGCCTTGGGGCTGCTGACACGAGAAGTGTGACAATTTAAAATGTTCCAAATGTCTACTATATTATATTCCTATGCACTTTATATTTCAAAGCCCTGCTGGGTGTGCTTTAGGCTTTCCATATGCAATAACTTAGTTTTGGATATTTTTGTTTCATAAGGTGCTCTGTGTATATTGTGTTAGGAGAAGTTCCAGTCATATTTATGAGAAAGGAGGTTAAAATAATTAACTTTTGAAAAATCTGTTGAAGGAAGTTAGAGTCCCCCCACCCCCCTTAGCTTCGTTCTCTGAGGTTTGGAGTTCACCAATTTCCCTTTTCATTTTATATATCAGATTTTGCTTAGGAGATTGCATCCAGAGATGGCCTTGAAAATGATCTGTAAGAGGAGAAGTTCTGAGAGTTGAAATGCACTGGCTCAAAAGAGAAAATGTGATCGTTGGAAGCCTAAAAGCCTGGTCTGATTTAATTTGGACTTGACTTCCCAGACATATAATTTTGAGACCATTTGGATTATAAATCTTAATCGCCCATTGAATAGTTCCCCAGGACGAAGTTGGATGATAAAGCAGTGTGTAATAATCTGATGAATGCTACCTTTAGCCTGGGACCCCTAGGTCCCTGGAAATGCTTGAGCTTGTCCTGGTTGAATGGAGAAGCAGAATTATGTATTTCTGTCCTCCTATTCTGATGCCTTGTGACAAATCCATTACCAAGTAGGAATTCACCAGTCCTTTCTCCAGCGTGCCCCTGTCCCCTCTATTAGAGATTCCCTGCCCCCCACACCTCCCAGGGACTTTGCCATTTTATATGTTTCATTGACATGAGATTTTATTCATCCATATAGAGGCTTATAAGGCCAAGTTTCTCCTGGTTTTCTTGAGGCTGTTTGACACCACCACGATAGGCAGCCCTGAAAGTAGGGCTTGGGCTGTGGCCTTCCGGTTGGCGAGTGCGCATGCATTTTTCCCCCCCACGGATAACGCCCGCCCTGGTTGTGCCAACGTAGTTGACCGAGACAACCTGTTTTTTAATGTAAGTAAGAGACCTTCACAGTCTCTGTTGTTTGTTCTGCTGGTGATGCTCCTGTTAGAAGGTTCAGGCAGAAGGCAATGACAACAGAACCGAGCAGAAACGTGCCGGCGCAGCAGTGCTGAGATGTGCCGGGAGCAGCCAACTGTCAGGCTGGCTCTGGGATGCTCGGATGGCAGTCGTTTTGGCAAGGAGAGCAGAGGCAGGGCTGGAGAGGAAGGGTGGGTAGGGCCCCGACTGCGCTGGCCCTGGCTTGGGCTGGTGGAAGCGTGCCAGGCTGGTCAAAGTGTCCGTGGCCCTCTGTCAGGATCTGTGTCTTTTTCATGAGATGGGGTGTCAGTAGTCAGATGGAGGAAGCCATATGGAATTCAGAGCTCTTTAGACTATTTTGAGGCCATGGGGAGTGTCTGTATACAGTTAGATGTTGTTTTCTTTTGTGATTGTTTATAAATCCTGTATTAGGTGATAGATACATAATGAAGGAGGAAAACTAGGGCTTATTTGTTTTCATTTTAGTACTTTTTAAGGCCATAATTGGAGGAAAAATAAAACTCTCTTTAAATTTCAAAAATATTATTTTACGCCTTAGTGGTCTTAGCTGCCTGATATATATGAAATTGACAGACTTGAGTAGAGCTTTCATGTATTAGTCCTCACAATTGTTGCTTTTTTATCTGATGGCAGGTTCCTATTTTCAGGCTTAATTTTTTTTTTTTTTTTTTTTACATTTACCAAAGCATTTGTCACAGTTATTCATTTAATAATGGCTAATCATAACTCCTAATTTCTAGTCATTTTCTTCTTTTGATTTGAAAATCCACTGAGACTGATAGAACGGAGAGGTGTGTAGGCTAAGTGTTCATGATGGAGAATTAGGTTAGAAACATGAGTCAGGCTGATAGGGGTGAGCTCTGAGAAAAAGTACTTTTGTCTGCTCATTCCCTCAGCTTTATTTGAGCCTGGGCAGTTTGTGTCCCAGTGTCTTTATCTGTAAAATGTATTGAAATCTTTGTTTGGAAAGCACTTTGTATAATTATTTTGAATCTTGCTGCTTTGATATCAAAGTGACATCAGTGGTAGGGCTTGTTTCACTCTCATCCTTATATGACACCATCTGTGCTGTCTTTCTTACATATTAATATTTGCTTAAACAGCTTTTAAATTCTCGGCCAGTGGATACCAGCTGCAGTTGAAATCAAATTACACTTTTTTAACTTTGTTATTAGACCCAATGGTATTCCTAAAATAACCTGTTTTAAAGTTCTAGTTTAATGGAGTTTAGCTGAAATTATATGTTTCTATCTTTTAAAAATAGGACCAATGTAACTAAATAAACCGTGATTAGAACTTGCTGAAACAACAGTTTACCCTATCATTTAAAAATAGTAAATCTTTTAATATCTATATCTTGGGGGGAAAGCACAACCGTTGTGCCTTTTAAGGTGCAGAGAGAGCCCGTGGTAGAACATTTTACAAATATATGTATAGACTAATTAAGGGAGAGGATTTTATTTTTTGATTCTATATGCATATTTTAAGCCACGCTGACATTTCGTTTTCAGCCACTGTTTGAACCTATTTTATTAAAAATCTCCCCTTCACAGTATCTGTCTCATACTCTTTACCCACTAACGTGACCCCTGTCTAGATCTACATCTATCTATAGATACACATCACAGCTGCCTAACATCACACTGCCAGCTTCTGTTATTTGGAGATGGTTACACCAAAACAGTGCTAAGTTAAATTTACGAACAATACTATTGTCACATATAAATGGGATTCAAGAGTAAAGTCTGTGGCTGGAGTTATGTAACCAGACCTTTAAGTCTCAGAATGTGGCAAAATGCTTTGCAAAGGACAAGTTCTGTCTCACCTAGTGGTAAAGGTATGGTTGAAATATAAAATAGGTCATGGATTTTAAAAAACTGTGGTCAGAAACACATGACATAAAGTCTGCCGTATCAGAAGTGTTAAGTATATTCACATGGTCGTGAAAGGGCATTTTTATATTGCCCATATTTTATGAAGACCAGCAATGACCTTTTATTTCTAATTTTCCTTGGTGACATTTGCTGATTTTGGATTAATATTTGGAGACCAGTCTAATATTTTTCCTCTTAGTACAACATAAATAGAATTTGTAGCTTCTGCTGCCAGAGCCTCTGTATGCAATTTATTGTTGGCTTGGTTAAGCAGCTGTAATGTTATGTCATTAACCCATTGATTTTGGCTCTCTCACCTTAGTAAGCTTTTCCATGGCAATTAATTGTACTAAAAAAAAGTTCTGGATCCATTATAAGGATTCAGTGAAAGGTATCAGATTTTATTACTCTGATATTACTTCTCAGCCCCTCCATTGGGGCTTCTAGAACCTTGAATTGTGCTTTACATGCATTTAAGAACCACAGACTAAGTTTTGAGTGTGGTTGCATAAGCCACACTGGACTTATTAATAAATAAGGTGGTCTTATTTACATCATTCATTATTCAATACAACTTGCAAGCTGGAGTTGAAAGCATGTTGTCTTCCTGGTGAAGGTATTTACAGAATTCAGCTCAGCACAACCATTTGAAATCTTCTTAGTTTCATATCTTCTATCTCTACATCGAGGAGGTTTTTATTACACTGCGTAAAACAACTGAAAGATCCCCTGACCTTCTGACCCTACTTTCTTCCACCTCCCCCTTTCCATCACCTCTCATTGACTATAAAGGAAAATGTGTTTGATTTTTTTTTTTTCTCCGAAAAGTGATATTTCCTTATGGGAATTCGGAGCACTAGAGTTAAGAGAAGAGCCTGGGTTATATGCTATTAGAAGCAAGTAATGGGAAGTTGAGATGATGTGGTCATAGCTCTCCAGCACTGTGTTTAGTTCTGTTTAAGATCTTTCACTGTTTCTATCCCATAAACTTCTGTTTGTGTTTTTTCAATATTCCCTTTTAAAGACATTTTCTAAGTGGAACTGTTGGCTGAGCAGCTGAGAGTTGAGGTCTCTTTCTCCTCAGGAACATTCTGTATGATTTCTTTGACTATCTCTAGGTCATAGGGCTATAAAACCTAGAGTTTTTATTTAGCTGGGGGAAGGGAATTGAATTTCTTTTCTTTTTCTGTTTTAGGTTTCTTTTTCTTCTTTTCTTTCTTTCTTTCCCTTTCTTTCTTTCTTTCTTCCTTCCTTCCTTCCTTTCTTTTTCTTTCTTTCTTTCTCTTTCTTTCTCTCTCTCTCTCTCTCTCTCTCTCTCTCTCTCTCCTCTCTCTCTCTCCCCCCCTTTCTTTCTTTCTTTTTTCTCCCTTCCTTCCTTCTTTCCTTTCCCTTTTTTTTTTTTTAAACCTTTGGTACCAAGCAAGTGCCTCCTGTTTTAACTCATTGCTCATCTTGCCTGTTAGGAAGAGAAACATTATCAAGCCATTACTGAATATCATACCCTGACATTATCCCTCCAACTAACTTTACCACTTCTCTAGAGACCTTCTTATAGGTTCAAAAGCTGTGGGGTAGAATGTGGCATTGAACCTGCTGCTCCTTAGAGCAATACCAAGTTTTGGTTCTTCTTAGTGTTTACAAATCAATTGGGTGATTTGGGGGAGTGGTTATTTAGACAGGGCGATGTTTTTCTTGTTTGATGTGTGTGAGAGAAAGAAAGGGATAGAAAAAACCTGAGCCTTGCGTTATTAATAGTTGATTGATCATTGTCGTAGTCTATTTGGTCTAAGTCTTTAAAACACAAATCTCACTACCCAGCTGGCAGAGATCTGAGCTCTGCAGTGGCCTGATAATTTTAGCTCCATATTTGATTTCTTTATTTTTATTTT